CTAAAGCCCTGACTCTTTTTTTTTTTTTTTTGCATTGCCATAAATTGCTCACTGCATTAAATTTTCTCAGTCACCAACAACGTTTTTGATTGATGAAAGTGTGGCAAGGCCTACAAGGCTACCACTTTCCATGGTATGCAGAAAATGGGGTTTTTTTTTATTTTTTATTTTTAAAGAAATCGTTTTTCGATTCACTGCATCGGTTTGAGTACTTGAATTTGAAAAGAAAGAAAAAATTGTTTAGAAGGTATGAGAAAGAAGCAAGGGGTGGTTGGAACTCTATAAAATGAAAGTGTTTTAGCCCCTCTACAACTTATATGCTCATAAGCTTTTTTCATGGCTTCATTAGAGAGGACAAACATATTGAGAACAAAGTTTATTATGGAGTCATTAACTAACCTGATCCGCCCGGCAAAGCTGATTTTAGCCGTAGCTCTCTTGCAGGGTGCCTATGCAGGCCAGGCCATAATTGTTAGGATGGCTATGAACCAGGGGATGAGCCATTACATATTCTTAGTCTACCGAATGGCCTTTGCCACTGTTCTTATTGCTCCATTTGCTCTTATCTTGGATAGGTTTGTTCTCTTGATGTATATGCAGGGAAATTTTCTATTTTCAAACAGTCTAGCAAGTTTTAAAAAAGATTAAGGAACTATCATAACTAATTACTAATTGTTAAGACTAATCACCAGGAAATCGAGGCCGAAGATGACATCCTCCATCCTTGTTAAGACAATGCTGCTCAGCCTTTTCGAGTAAGAATCTGAACCATTAAGTTTAATTAAACTACTCTTTATGATCTTAATTGAACCCCATTTTCATTATCTATCTATACAGCCCTGTGCTTGACCAGAACCTATACTATATGGCAATGTCCTACTCTACAGCTACTTTCACATCTGCCATGTTCAATATTCTTCCTGCAATTGCATTTTTTATGGCCTGGATCTTTAGGTACAACTCCTTAGCCACTAAAACACAGAAAAAACACACTGGTAAGGCAAATAAAGTTTATAACTTTGTTGTGGTGAGGGATTTGCAGGCTTGAGACAGTAAACATTAGGAAACTGCATAGCCAGGCAAAGGTTCTTGGGACTATAATCACAGTTGGAGGAGCTATAATATTGACACTAGCCAAAGGGCCTGCACTAAATTTGCCATGGACAAAGGGCAAAAATCAACATCATCCTCATCATCAAATGCAAAGTGATTCAAACCACAAAGACATCACAAAGAGTGCTCTATTGAGTGCAGCAGCTTGTTTCTGCTGGTCTAGTTTCATCATTTTGCAAGTAAGAAACTCTCAAATGTTATATGACATGCTTCTGTGTTACTGCATCAGTAAAAAATAAAAAGTAAAAAGTATAATATGATGGTGAATTCTAATGCAGGCATTTACACTAAGATCATATCCTTGTAAGCTCTCCCTGGCAGCTCTTACATGTTTTTGGGGTCTGGTGGAAGGAGCAATCCTGGCCCTTGCAGTAGAATGGAGGAACAGTAATGCAGACTGGTCCATACACTTGGACATAAGACTTTTAGCAGCATTTTATGGGGTAACGAATTTTTACTTCAGAGAAAGAATGGCAAATATGTACTCAGAGTCACAGTCACAGATGTTTTTTCATGCAGGGGATACTCTCTGGGGTTGCTTATTACATTATGGGAATGGTAAATAAAGAAAATGGACCTGTTTTCTTTTCTGCTTTTAACCCATTGGGCACAGTAATTATTGCAATTCTGGGTTCCCTTGTTTTTGATGAGCACATGTACCTTGGGAGGTATGCTTTAATTTCTCTCTCCTATGCCCAATATGCCTATGCATAATAGTTACAGCAGTAAAAATGGACTGACCCAATACCACTACATGGTTTGCAGTCTTACTGGAGCCATTGTCATCGTTGTTGGCCTATATCTGGTTCTGTGGGGCAAGACCAAAGACGAGCCTCCATCTCAATCATCAATAACTCAGAGTCAACCAAACGATGAGCCTATAACTACAAGTCAACAACAAATGATGCCAGAGGGAGGCCTGGATATAGAACGTGGAGGTGAACCAAAAACAAACATAATTTACAGCTAAAAGTTTCAGTTCATTCGAGAAAACTATTGAATTCTGGGAGATCATTATAAATTTTTTCACAACGTTGATGTAAAAATATTTATGTTCTTTTTAAGTTCTCAACAAAAGGAGCACCATTATTCTTAAGTTGTGAATTGTGAATTTGGACATGAAATCTCATCTCATCCAACAAAGTGGAGGCCAATATTTTATCTAAGGGTAATGCTAGGCTTCCCACATTTTTATACCACATTGTGTATCACATTTCTAATAGAGACAGAGCCCACCAATACAATGGAGCCCATCTCTATTAGAGATGTGGTACGCACTGTGGTATAAAAATGTGGTAAGCCTAGCATTTTCCTTTATCTAATCAATGGTAAGACAGCCAACGTAAAACAATAGTTGGTGGCCTCCAAAGAGAGGCTGCATCATTGATCAGCAGCCAGCAAATAATGCTTGTTCGCAATTTGAGCTCAAAATGGACTTATCTACATATGAGCAAGGATAAATCCCCAACCATTCATGACATTCATGTCAAAGACGATGCCCCTCGAGTTCTCAAAGCGCCCAAATTGGTGTCACACTGGACACTTACCAGATTATCAGTAAGCCGATTCGACCATCGGGTTACACTATCCAGTCTCGATAACTATGGATGTTTGGTTCATAGATTTTCAGGGTGAAAAATAAACACGCATACAAAATTTTGTAAACTGTCCACCATCCAAAAATAATTAACTTTCAATATGAACTATTTCACATAGCCAAAATACCTGTAAACATCCACCAGCTCCAATATTCAAATTTGCAGTCTATAATTTAGTAATTTACTATAAGCTTTTGTATGGTGCTATGCAATCCCATCTATCCCCCAAAAAGTTAATGAGGAAGATTCTCGCATCAAGATTGTATAGCAACTTCGTCTTTTCCATAGATACGCTGAAGTTCACGGGTGGCGGCTTGATGCGATGCTGAAGAAAGTCAAAAAGAGGGAACTATATGAGAGCAATTTTCACAACATCAATAAACATAAATGGTAAGGATATCACATTTCAAGTTTGTGTTAAAGAGGTCATCCAAAAATCATCTAAAATTCTGCATCACCTTTCCAGATCCGGAAATTCTTCTGATTAATAGGAGACCCTGTCACAGTTTGAATGGCATCAAACAGCATCTCCTGAGGAGTGTTCTTCAGCTCTTGAACTACTGCATAGATGGTCTTTCCATTCTCAAAGTAGATGTGATTGTTGGGATGCTTGGTCTTAGCACCAGCATGACGTTCAAACCCATAAGCTTATGATATTTATAAAATATCCCTTTTTTTCCTTAAGTCCTTAGAAGTCATTTTACAAAAGGATAAATTTGTTTTTGAAAATTTGAAATTAAGGTGGGTGGAGAAATAGGACAGGTGGGTGGAAATAGCAGCACTCTTGATCAGGGAGCATTTGATATTCATGTTGTTTCAAAGTTGTTTTAAAAACAAGTGTAAAGAGGGTTCCCACCCGACGTTGTGGGCCAAAAATTAAGTAAACCCACACTCTCTTTTTTTGCGTGTGAAATTTTTTTGGTTCAACAGAAGGTATGAGAAATGATGAGTACATAATTATCACATTTATTATCCCTACATTATATTTGTTAGTAACTAATTTTATTTAATTTGATATTATTTTGTGTGTTTATCTCTTTGTAGCTAGACTTTGAGGTTCATTGGCTATGTTCATACCCACCCCACATAAAAGAGCAAGAAAAAAAAGCATGAAATGGATGAAGCAACAAACAAGACTTGGTGGCATTAAACAATTTGTAGTTGGGAATGACCAAATGAATGATGAAGAATTAGTGCCACACCAAGGCATAAAAGAAAGGAAAAAAAGCAATGGATGGAGCAACCAAGAAGAAAAGAATTGAAAAGAATGCATGAAGTGCCACACCCATGCCAAAAGAAGAAACAATGAAAAGATGGGCTACGGTTTTGCATTGAAAGGGATAAGAATTTCATATTTTAATATTTCCCTAGTGATTGTTGCTGTTGAGATTTAAGGCTATAAATAGGAAGCTCTACAAGCCTTCAAACACACCCAAGCTCCACAACTCTTGAGCTTTCTCTCTTCCCTCAATCTTTCTAAGTTTTAATTTCTGTTTTTAGTTTTATTTTATTATAGGGAACTAACTCCCTAGCTAAGGCTAGGGAGAAAGCTTTTAATATAAGTGTGTAATTTTTATTAGTTTGATCCAAACTTAAGCTTTAATGTGAATTTGTAGTTTTTGTTCAAATGGAATTTGTAGTTTTCTTTTTAATTAATTGATGAATGTTTGATAATCTATTTCATGGGTTCAATCATGTTTTTCCCATTGTGTAGTAAAAACTTTCATTCTTTTAAAAGAGAAGAGAATGACCAACGATTAATAGAATTTTGATGAAGATTATTTTTTGATAGTTTGTTGCCAATGGTACAAGTTATGCTTAGAATACTTCTAAAGGAAATTAAAAAGAGCTTTAATTATTTTGAACAACTACAAATGAAAATATTTTGTGGATCAAATTATTAAGAGTTGCATGCTTATGTTAAAAGCGGAAACCCAATGCCTTAGTATTTTAATCAATTGAATTTTCTTGAAATCAAATCTTGCATAAATCTACTTTTCAATCATAATTGTTCTTTTTCAGCTCTGTTATCTTTACACCGCTCTCTGTGGATACGACACTCGGACTTCCGAGCTACACTACTATACGACACCTCCCTTGGATTTTGCAAAGTGGTGCGAACCAGAAAGAAGCAAGGGGTGGTTGGAGCTCTATAAAATGAAAGTGTTTTAGCCTCTACAACTTATATGCTCACAAGCTTTTTTCATGGCTTCATTAGAGAGGACAAACATACTTGGAGGATGATGTTGATTTTTGCCCTTTGTCCATGGCAAATTTAGTGCAGGCCCTTTGGCTAGTGTCAATATTATAGCTCCTCCAACTGTGATTATAGTCCCAAGAACCTTTGCCTGGCTATGCAGTTTCCTAATGTTTACTGTCTCAAGCCTGCAAATCCCTCACCACAACAAAGTTATAAACTTTATTTGCCTTACCAGTGTGTTTTTTCTGTGTTTTAGTGGCTAAGGAGTTGTACCTAAAGATCCAGGCCATAAAAAATGCAATTGCAGGAAGAATATTGAACATGGCAGATGTGAAAGTAGCTGTAGAGTAGGACATTGCCATATAGCCCTGTGCTTGACCAGAAGCTATACTATATGGCAATGTCCTACTCTACAGCTACTTTCACATCTGCCATGTTCAATATTCTTCCTGCAATTGCATTTTTTATGGCCTGGATCTTTAGGTACAACTCCTTAGCCACTAAAACACAGAAAAAACACACTGGTAAGGCAAATAAAGTTTATAACTTTGTTGTGGTGAGGGATTTGCAGGCTTGAGACAGTAAACATTAGGAAACTGCATAGCCAGGCAAAGGTTCTTGGGACTATAATCACAGTTGGAGGAGCTATAATATTGACACTAGCCAAAGGGCCTGCACTAAATTTGCCATGGACAAAGGGCAAAAATCAACATCATCCTCATCATCAAATGCAAAGTGATTCAAACCACAAAGACATCACAAAGAGTGCTCTATTGAGTGCAGCAGCTTGTTTCTGCTGGTCTAGTTTCATCATTTTGCAAGTAAGAAACTCTCAAATGTTAGATCACATGCTTCTGTGTTACTGCATCAGTAAAAAATAAAAAGTAAAAAGTATAATATGATGGTGAATTCTAATGCAGGCATTTACACTTAAGATCATATCCTTGTAAGCTCTCCCTGGCAGCTCTTACATGTTTTTGGGGTCTGGTGGAAGGAGCAATCCTGGCCCTTGCAGTAGAATGGAGGAACAGTAATGCAGACTGGTCCATACACTTGGACATAAGACTTTTAGCAGCATTTTATGGGGTAACGAATTTTTACTTCAGAGAAAGAATGGCAAATATGTACTCAGAGTCACAGTCACAGATGTTTTTTCATGCAGGGGATACTCTCTAGGGTTGCTTATTACATTATGGGAATGGTAAATAAAGAAAAGGGACCTGTTTTCTTTTCTGCTTTTAACCCATTGGGCACAGTAATTATTGCAATTCTGGGTTCCCTTGTTTTAGATGAGCACATGTACGTTGGGAGGTATGCTTTAATTTCTCTCTCCTATGCCCAATATGCCTATGCATAATAGTTACAGCAGTAAAAATGGACTGACCCAATACCACTACATGGTTTGCAGTCTTATTGGAGCCATTGTCATCGTTGTTGGCCTATATCTGGTTCCGTGGGGCAAGACCAAAGACGAGCCTCCATCTCAATTATCAATAACTCAGAGTCAACGAAACGATGAGCCTATAACTACAAGTCAACAACAAATGATGCCAGAGGGAGGCCTCGATATAGAACGGTTCTATATCCAGGCCTAGTACACAATATGGTATAAAAATGTGGTAAGTCTAGCATTAGCCTTAGATAAAATATCGGCCTCCACTTTGTTGGATGAGATGAGATTTCATGTCCAAATTCACAATTCACAACTTAAGAATAATGGTGCTCCTTTTGTTGAGAACTTAAAAAGAACATAAATATTTTTACATCAACCCTGTGAAAAAATTTATAATGATCTCCCAGAATTCAATAGTTTTCTCAAATGAACTGAAACTTTTAGCTGTCAATTATGTTTGTTTTTGGTTCAGGGTAACAAACATAATTGACAGCTAAAAGTTTCAGTTCATTCGAGAAAACTATTGAATTCTGGGAGATCATTATAAATTTTTTCACAGGGTTGATGTAAAAATATTTATGTTCTTTTTAAGTTCTCAACAAAAGGAGCACCATTATTAAGTTGTGAATTGTGAATTGTGAATAGTGTATTTGGACGAGAAATCTCGTCTCATC